ATTAGTAGTACTATGAGTTAATTTTACCTGGGGGTTCTTCTGCTATCTTAATTTGTGTCCGGGCTGGGTTTGTCATACTTATTTGTGGTTTGTAGCATAAATTTGGGTTCGGCTGCTTTTTCTGCAATTCGGCCTGATTCGTGTTTTGCCATTCTGATTAGCCTTTTGAAGCATCAAACCGAAACGATTCCATATCTGCGGCCTGCTGTGATCCCTGGGTGCGCCCCTGTATGTTTGTATTGTGCATCCAGGCCCCAAAGTCGTAGTGCACCTTGGCTGGGGGCGCAGGTACTGCGATGTTCAAGTGTCAGGACTTCTTGAAGGCACGCCTGACTCGTTTGGGGTTCCACAGTATCAGCTATTGCAGTTGAGCGCATTGCATACTTGATCGCACTTACATTGCTAGCAGCTGGCTCAGTACGTTGGATGTTGGCCCTACCGCTAGATATCAGCGCTTGGGAGATACGAGATGTTTTCAGAGGGTTAAATTCCATCTATATAATTAGAAGTTCATAGCTTCGCTTTGTGGAAAAGCCATGGATCCTGCTCCAGAAGCCTCAGTTGCTGTTTCTGAAGCATGCCCTGTTCTTGGGGCTTGGTCGAAATGCCCTGTGGTGATGGCTCAGCTAGCCAAATCAAAGAAGATGTTGGTCCTCCAGCATAAGAAGCTGAACCGTGCTGTGCTGGTTGACAACATGGAAGCCCTAGCTCCCTTGATCAATCACCTGGGAAACCTGGCTTCAAATGCGAGTCTATATGTCAACAGCTAGTTACACTGAACTCCTCTCCTATATGCCTGCTGCTTAGGCCTCCGGCCGTCGGTTGACCTCTTGCAGGAGTACGTCACGAGGTTCTACTTGGCTTATCGGCCAGCGGCTGCGAAAATGCCTTCATGTGCACGACTTATAATATGAGTAGACAGCATGCATAGTGAGATTCTAGATCGAATGCTGTATGTATGCACTTGAGGCAATGACTTGCGGACAGAGGCTTGGGTGCTGAGGAGGCTCATCACTATTTTTTCCAGAATAGCAAAAAGACCCCACTCTCCTCGAGATCCGAATGTACGCAAGCTGTTTGCGAAATCTGGACTACCCGTCCCTCAGAGTGCCTGGGTCATCCAACAATTAAAGCATCGAATCGATCTTTTCTAGCAAGTCTTTACGGTGCCCCGAAGTCCTAAATCTTAAGCCTTAAGCCCGCAGACCCACCTGCTTAAAACTTGATCTCAGGTGCTCCAGGCAGCAGCCCAGGAGGTGATTCCAGTGGCGGCGATTCTTCTGCCTCCGATGACGAGGGCTTTGGGGAGGGCTCTGGAGAATCGGAGAGTGAAGTGAATGATGAAGAGGTGGAGTTTCCACCCGAGTGCCCGGAGATCCCTGAGCTTTCAGCTGCACGCAAGCCAGAGGTCACAGAGTCGGATGCACCAAAGAATCCCACACCCAAGCCTGAGGTCACAGTGGTGCCACGCAGCAGCAAGCCGGAGGACACAAGAGCACGGGAGAACTGCAGCAGCAAGCCTGAGATCACAGCGCCACCGCAGAAGCACAGCAGCAATCCGAAGGCCACAGGAGCACCGGAGAATCCCACAGGTAAGCCTGAGATCACAGAGGCACCGGAGAATCCACGCAAGCCTGAGGTCACAGAACCACCGGAGAATCCCACACGCAAGCCCGAGGTCACAGAGGCACCGGAGAATCCTTCCAAGCCTGAAGTCACAGGGGCATCGGAGAATCCACCCAAGCCTGAGGTCACAGGGGCACCGAAGAATCCACCCGAGCCTGAGGTCACAGGGGCTCCGAAGAATCCACCCAAGCCTGAGGTCACAGGGGCACGCAAGCCTGAGGTCACAGGGGCACCACAGAAGCCTGTTGCCCCTTGCCTGTAACAACCCTAGCCACATAGCCTAACGATGCTTGCCTTAAGCCCCGAAGCTGTTAGCTGGGTTTAAGCATATTCCTTCCTGCAATCGAGGTTTCTACCGAGACTTCCACAGCATCAAAGAGGAATCTGAGTCTAGGGATGCCTTTACGCAAGTATCCGAAGCTGAGTCTACCGAGACCTTTACCTGCATTATGCACTCTAGGCCTCAGAAAATCTATGGTGCATAGGAATCTGATCCCAGGTCAAGCCATATCTGCGCCTTCGGAATCCTCTGCAGTTGTGACTCCGCCTCCCAAAGGTTTTTCAGCGGCATTATAAGTACTTCGCAGTGCATCCTGCATTTAAACTGAAGTTCTTGTCTGACTGCCTAGGATTGCCACTCTCGCCACAAAGCCAAGCAAAGCATCGTCGAGAGCACTATTTGGTGAAAGACAAGCAAATGCATTTCAGATGCCTCAATTGTGGTGATGCTGGTGCAATGGATGTCTTGAAATCCTTTCCCTGCAGTGCACTAGATGATGAGATTTCAAAAGAAGATGATGCCGCCAGTCAGGCCGCGAGTCTCAGGCTTGCCCAGGCCTTGCAAGCCGAGGAGGATGAGCAGGTCATCGGTCGGGACCTGGAGGCTGAGCTACTAGCAGAGCAGCTTAGCTTGGAGGAGCTGCTGCTCCAGGCTGAGGAAGGGGAGCTGCAAAGGCTTCTAGCTCAAGAGGAGGCTGATTTGTTGCAGGCTAGGATGGCGTCCTTGGAATCTAGGACAGAGTGTATTGGAGAGCTCATGCCGCCGCCAAGTGTTCGCAAGGGCGGAGCACGCAGTGACAGTGACTCTGGGGCTGGCAGCAGCAAGGACCATCTACTACAGAAGCTGCCAGCAATTAGCACAAAGAGGACTCTGGAGCCTGAGCTTGATGCTTGCAAGGAACCTGTTGAAAAGGTCAAGCGGCCATGCATTATGCACGAGGCTGAGCAAAAGCAGCCCCAGCGGGCTGCCGATGTTCATTCAAACCCCGGTTGCTTTGTGTGTGCCTAGGATGCTATACTCTGCCTGTGCTCAGTTGTACACCCTGCTGGCCCCTAAGCACCCCTAAGCACCCTCTATCTACTCAGCCCAGGCTTGGATAATGTGGACACCCTGCCGATGGACTTCGACTATGATGGCCTTGCTGCTGTCGGAGGCAGTGTGCCAGAAGCCACGGTCCAGGACCTTGGCAAAGGACAGGGTCCGGGTGCAGAGCTTGAACAGAAAGAGTGTGAGCCGACGGTGTCGGTTTCTGTCGGTGGAGTGCTTCAAGATGACATGTCCGACCGTGATGATGCTGTCAGTCTCAGTATTCGTGATGGGACCGTGCACTACACCGATGATGAAGCTGCTGCCGAGGAAGTGCTCTAGCTGAATCCCATTAGCTAGGCAGGTGTTACAGAAGCATGCCATGGAAGTGATCGGTTTAATTGTCATGATATTTGGGTACTTAGCTGAGGCAGTGAAAGACGAGCTACCGGAATGCCCCGACACATCGGACTTCAAGCCCATGTCTCCAAGCGAGCAAACGAAGCTTATTGGTGCTGCAGCGCCAAAGAAGAAGACCAAGCGCAATCAGTGTGAGGAAACGACTGAAGCCCCTATTGACGAAGCACTTGCTGAGGAACCAACATCTCGCCGAGGCCGTGGTCGAGGCCGTGGCCGTGGTAAGGACTTGGCCTCGAGCAGGGGTCGTGGGGGAAGGGGCAAAGGGCGGGGTCGAGGGTGCAAAGCAAAGGAGGAGGCCCCACCCAGCCCCCCACGCACCGAGCCCGATGACAGCCAACCCGAAGACGCCGATGAACACAAAGATGCAACAACGGAGGAGGAGGATGAGGAGATCCCCGAAACCAAGGGTAAAGGAGGTCCGAGAGCAAAGAACGACAAAGCTGCAGTGGAGCCAGCAAAGAAGCCTAAACAGGCAAAGGCTAAGGCGAAGGCCAAAGCAAAGGCCAAGGCTAAAGCAAAAAACAAAGCTGCTAGCACCAAGGATGCTGCCAAGCCCGAGCCGAAAGCAAAGAATTGTGCAAAGCCGAAACCAAAGGCAAAGGAGGATCCAAAGGTGACAGCAAAGGCCGGGCCAACCAAGCGGCCACAGGGTTCTGCCTCTAAGGACAAGGCAGCCATTGCCAAGCTTGATGAGACCAAGGCGAAAAAATCAAGGAAATCTGTGGCCTACCACAAAGCACTGAACCAGGCTAAAAGTGAAGGCCAACCGCTTGAAGCCTGCAAGGAAGCTGCCAAAGCTGTGTCTTGATGAACATCATTTTTAAACTGCATGCCTGAAGCAACAGTGGTTTGCATGTGTACTAGTGAATCGTGCTATGTGCTTTGCCGCCAGCAGCCAAGGCATACAAGGCCACGGATTGACCAAGCTCACGGCTTGGACTGGATGTCGATGATGAAGCCCGCGATCCGGATGGTCGAGTTTGTAGGTTTGCCTGTACACGAGCCAGCTCGGAAGTGTTAGGTTTTAGGGGAGGGGTGGGAAATGATTGTGACAACCAATAGTGTTGCCTGCAATCATATTGCCAATGGGGCTTTTCAAGCTTCTTGCTATCGTGGCGAGCCGGTGAGAACACCGAGCCGACGAGTTCCAGAGTGTGAGTGGGTGAGCCATCACGATCCAAAGATTGCATGATTTCTGCTGAGCATTGTGCATGCACGCTTCTGTCGAGTTTCTAAATTGCCACTCTAGAGGTCAGCTGGTTCAATCTAGATTCGATCACATGCCAGGATGCCGCCTCGTGCTGAAGGCTGGCAGGTTCGTGCTGCCATCCAAGGCCGTGTCCCCCAGCCATGCACCTTTGCATGTGATTTTGCAATGACAGTGATGTTTCCACGGGTCATGGGCCGGGTTGCTTCTGATTGCACATGCCCGATACTTGAGCGCATTTTGGTTCAGTGGCTCTAGAACCTAGAGGAGCCTCCACTATGGATGCAAGTGAATCTTTGCTTGTCAATCTGGTGCAACTGGATGCACCGAAGGTGGGATGTCTGGTGTGCACGTTATGTATAGTAGTACCCAGGGATGCTGCCTGCTAGGTATTCATCGCAACAGCCTGCTGCCTATCTTCGTGAATTCCTCTATATCATGCATATAGAATCAAAAGTTAGTTTATACACCTGGGGCCCAGGTGCTGCTGCTGCGGTGGATGACCACCCTTAATTTCAAGAACGACGTGGAGTTCTTTGAAATCTTCGCAGGTGAGGCTGCTGTGACCAAGGAGTGGTTCGAACCTCATGTATGGGCTCAGTGTCGTTCTTGTTCGGTTCGCCTTTATGGGTCGGTTTATTTCCTAGGCATGCTGCTGGCTACAGAACTATGAGTTTCGATAAACTCTATGGAGATGGCATGGACTTCCTCGGCAACAAAGGGTTCACGATCTTTGTCCGCGAAATATATACTTTAAACCCTGGTTTCTTCGTCTCTGGGTTTTGTCCATCCAGCTTCTGGGTTTTGTGGGCTTGTTATCCTGGGAAGTGTCTGGAATCCTGGTGATCTTTAGGGTTTAGGGTTCTCGTTTTGGGCTATGTCATACATCGGTTATACTCTCTCTCTCTCTCTCTCTCTCGCTTCGGGTGCAGGAGCAGGACTATAGTCTATGCAGCAAGTATAGGGGTGCACTAGCTTATAGAAGTATTTCGAAAGATGATTTTTTTTTCGGTGGACCTTTGGGCTCAGGGTCATTGGAAGCCAGAAGCATTCTGGAAGCGCGAAAGCAAACCTAACCTAAAGGCCACAACTCCTGAAGCACCAACCCAAAACCTTTAAAATCGAAGCTTCAAACCCTAGCCCTAGAACCTTAAGACCCCGAGCCGTGCCCGAACCCCCAAACAAGAAACAACGAGATCAAGCTACGAAGAAATGTGGCCCAGGGCTTATTTGATGGGTCTAATCATATATATAATTAGAATACTGAACCCAATCTACTTTACCTCCCCGAGCATATTCCTAAACTTCGAAGCCAAAGGATTGCTATGTATGCTGTCATGAACCAGATTGTGGACGCCCTCAATGTCATAGGCCCCGACTGCAGCAGCTGGGGCCTGCCAGCACGCTCGACATCTATGAGAAACAGCATTAACCCCATGGGGCGATGTGGGCTGCAGTGGGTAGATGCCAACAACTGCTTGGTGTCCCGGTCACTAGGCCATCCTAGCTATAAGTGAGTTCGACGGTTAGCACGACTAGTGTAGTGAGTATGCAACCGAGGCTTGTCCTGCTGATACTCTTGATGATGAGCCGCCATGCAACATGGGTAGTTGAGCAGCCTTGGCAGTCACTGCTGCCCAAACACCACCGATGGGATTGGCTGGTGAACCGTGTTTGCAAGGTCCGGAATCAATACTCGATCTAATTTCCATTACATAGTACTTATCGATCATTCATCCCTGACCCTGTAGGTCTATGAGCAGGCCCATTGGATGATGCATCATGGTGCCCCGAGCCCCAAAAGAACTGTGGTCATGTCTCCTATGGCTACAATATCCCTCCTGAGCAAGGGCAAGTTGACAAAAGCTCAGCGGCTTGCGAAATCAAAGCTGACTACAGTCCGTGTCTTGTATGCAGCAGCACAGAACAGAAAGCCCCGCCCAAGTAGATCATATCCGATATAATATTTAAAGAGCCAAGGTCGACACATTGACAAGACGGGCCGGTCCTGCTTCACCGGACGCAAAGATGCATTGAAGAAGTCGGGGTCGCCTGGCCATTCAATGCATGCACAGGTATACACGTGCTTTCGGTCTCCCGGTGTCTAGACATGTTGGCTTGCGACTGAAGACTGAAGGGCCTACACACGTCTCTTCGGGAAGTCCCTCATGGAGGTTTATGAACGGTGGCGGCTTCTGCCTCTTTCCGAACGGGCAGACTGCAGGGGCCGTGCAGATGTCAATTTGGGCTGCACAGACAAAGAGATCTTTGATAGCCTCCCCCTAGGGGACTTGTGGGTTGACAGCCGGCTACATGAAGTGTTTCTCTACCTCTACCACTGCAAACACGTTGAGCTACTTGTATACAAAACAGATTATGGTGACCTTGAGAGTGCTATATATAGTGTGAAGTAGGCATTGCATAACCAAGGATTCCGGATTCCTGGATCGATGTGATGAAAAGCTTCAAGGATGAGGTGGTGAGCCACGTATCATTGGCTGCATCTGGTTGCCACGAGCACATGTTTAGGCTTAGCCGACTTGGGCTTTAGGGTCATACTATAGGTTGGGACTGTGTACATATACATATATATATATATATGCACCGTTCGGGGCTTTGGAATTGTGGGTCTAGGCCTTTGATGGTCTCGGGCTATGGGCTCTCAGCTAAATTGGTGTCTTGCGTGGTTTAGGAGGCTTCGAGTTTGGAGGTTTGAGGCTTCGAGTTCGGAAGCTTGATGCTCTGAGCTGACTTAAGGTTTGGGGGTTTGGAGCTTAGGGCTTTGGGGCTGAGTGTGTGGAGGCTTGGGGCTTATGGCTTCGGATTTTGGGGTTGAGTCTTTACCACCGCCACAACAACACCACCACCGCCGCCACCACCACCACCACCACCACCAAGCTAGCCCTAAACCCCTAAACGGTTACCCTAAAACCTTAAAGCCTTGAAACCCTAAAGCCCTAAAGCCCTAAACCCTAGAACCTTAAAGCCCTAAAACCTTAAAGCGCTGAAACCCTAAAACCTTAATGCCTTAAAACCCTAAAGCCCTAAACCCCTAAACGGTACCCTAAACCCAAAAACCTTAAAGCCCTAAAGCCCTACAGCCCCGAACCCTAAAACCTTAAATCCCTACACGGCTCCCTAAAGCCCTAACTATACTAGTACTACTAGTACTACTAGTACTACTAGTACTACTAGTACTACTAGTACTACTCTACTACTACTACTACTACTACTACTACTACTACTACTACTATATACTACTACTACTACTACTACTACTACTACTACTACTACTACTATACTACTACTATTACTACTACTACTACTACTACTACTACTACTACTACTACTATACTGGGGTTTTACGGCTTTAAGGTTTTAGGGTTTAGGGGTTTTAAGGCTTTGGGGCTTTAGAGCTTTAAGGTTTTAGGGTTTAGGGGTTTTAAGGCTTTAGGGCTTTAAGGTTTTGGGGCTTTAGGGCTTTTGGGTTTCAAGGCTTTAAGGTTTTAGGGTTTAGGGGCTTAGGGCTTTTGGGGCTAGAGTATAGTGGTAGTAGTAGTAGTAGTAGTAGTAGTAGTAGTAGGAGCTGCCCCTGCTGCTGCTGCTCCTGCTGCTGCTGAGTAGCTCTAGTGCTGCTTTTGTATTACTAGGCTGCTGTGCTGCTATATATTAATATTTCTCCGCTAGCTCTACATAGCCGGCCTTGCCTGTAAGTTCCTGGAGCAGAAGCATTATTCCAAACCCCGTGTAAGAAACCCCAAGTCCCAGCCAACAAGCTCTGAAACAATCTCAGGCTCTGTCAGCCCAAAGACAGCAACCGCAACAGGCCCCAGCCCGAAACATTCAAAACCACAGGCCACAACCAAAGCGATTCTGAGTCTAGAATCTAGATCGATTCCCAGTACAACACCCAGCCTCCATAAGTCGAGCATCCCGCATGTTGTGTTGAACCTGTCCCAATTGACTACATAACCCCAACCAGGCCATTGCTGTTTGGTACTCGGGTTCGAAGCTTCTGGGTGAAGGGTTGAGTATGGGACCTTTGGGGCAAAGTCTTGCAGGATCGGGGCTTGGGGGTTCCGGGCTTAAGGCTCTTTGCTTTGGGGGGTTAGGGGCCCTAGCCTAGGTTGTCATGGGTTTAGGGTGTAGGGGGTCGGGCGGCTTGGGCTTTGGGTGTTGGTCTCTGGTGTTTTGGGGCTTCAATTTAATTTGTGCTTAGGCTTGGGGTTTGGGGGTTGGGGTTTCGGTTACATACAGTACTTGTTTGGGGGTTCGGGGCCTTGGGGCTTTAGGGTCTCAAAGGCCTTCCAGGTCCAGGGAGGGGATTGGGGCTTTTAGGCAAAGGCCCAGCAGGTAGGCCGGCACCAATATTATGAACAAAGCCCCGAAACTCCGAAAGCCAAAGCCCTCGAAGCCCAAATTCCCAAGCTGTGAACCTTACTGTTTATATAATCCTTGGGTAGCCCAGGCCTGTGGTTCTTCTGAGCTACGTGCAAATCTGCAAGAGCTGGAGACAACCAGTGCAGGGCAGTAGGGCTGGTCAGGTGAGACTAGGTCCTGGTGGTCCTAGGGTGGTCCTAGGTAGGTCCAGGTAGGTCTTA